TCTAACCTATTTAAAATATAATAAATTATTATAGCTATTATATAAATACTATAAATATAAGATATATAAATAAGAAAAAGAAGATAATAATTACTTTTTTATTATAATTCTTAATATACCTAATAATAATCTTTATTAAAAATAAAGATAAAAGGATACCTAATATATTATTAATATAAGAACCTTAAAGTAGTAAAATTATAATTTAGTATATCTTATTACTAATAAACCTATAAAATAAAGAAACTTTATAAAGGAATTTAGTAGTTATAATAACTAATTAAAAAGGCTAAAAAAGAATATAATAATATAATCTAAATAGAATAGTAATAAACTTATAATTTAATTAACCCTAGGTATATTAAAGGAAATACAGATAGTAAAGGACTATTAGAGTTTAAAATCTATATATCTAGAGACTTTAATATATATATTAACTTAAGATGCTTTTATAATTATAATAGCTATAAAAAATAAGAAGAGGAAGAATAATAAAAGTTAATTAAAAAGGATAATAAATTTAAGAATATAAAAGAAAGATACCTCTTTAAACCTAATAACCTAAAGAAAGATATTAATTAGGTTTTAACTAATAAATAATCTAGATAAGGAACTATACTAAAAGAATAAGAATTAAAGCTAGAAGTATATTTTTAGCAGTACCTGCATAATAAAGAATTTATAAATAACTCTTTAAAAGAAGAAGAATATATTAAGGACTACTATAAGGAAGTTAACTATAATAATAAAGAATATAAGTTACCCTACTAAACGAATTTAAGAAAAGTAATATGCCTTTTATAAAAATAGAGCTATAAAAGAGTAATAATAAATAAAAATAAGAGAGACTTAAATTAATAAGTACTTTAAGAGCTATATAAGATAGTAAACCTAATTGCCTAATACTATAAGCTTAAATTAAGGGAAGATAGCTAAATATATAAATTAATAATAAAGTAAAGAAGAACTTTATTAATTTAAGAATAGTTATAGAGTTAGGATTATTATAAAAAAAGAAGTAACTGCTATATTAACTTATTAATGCAGAAAGGTAACTTTTTAATTATAATAATAATATAATAAATTAAGAAATTAATTACCTTAAGCTCTTTATTAAGGGAAAGAATTAAGGAATAAGTTTTAATATTATTCCTTTAAAAAAGGAAATAGATATTATCCTTAAAATAAACTAGCTTAAATAAAAAAACCTATATATTAACTAAAAGACTAGCTAAGTTATATTTCCTAATAACCCTAATAGTAATAGTAAAATAATTATAAGGGGTAATAAGAGATCTTAATTTATAATTAAGAGGATAAGTATAAACTGGTATAAAGTAAAGACTTTACTACCTCTAAAAGGAATATAATATAAGTATAAGATAGGCTAAAGATAAAAATTAAAAATCCTAGATATCCTTAAATAATAAGATTTATAAAAGGATAAATTTACTATAATAAGCTAGGATTAACTTAAAAACATTTTAAGAAAATATTAGATATATAATAAATTATTTAAGAAAGAACTAGAAATAGGAGTCCTTAAATATAGTTAATAAGACTATAAAATTAAACTTATAAATAAAAACTTATTATTTTAAAAGATTTATTTACTAAATTAAAGAAAATTAAAAGTTTAATAATAATATATTAATAAGATAATTTAAAAGGGATATATTAGAGAATTAACCTTATTAGTAAGATTAGTAATATTCTTTATATTAAAAAAGAATAAAAAACTATAACTTATTATAGATTATAGAGGAGTTAATATATATATTATTAAGGATTAAACCCTACTTCTACTTATAATAAAACTTAAGGATTAATTATAAGGAAAAAAGGTCTTTATAGCCCTTAATCTTAAAGGAGTATATAACTGTATTTATATTAAGAAAGGAGATAAATAAAAGATAGTATTTAAAACTAAATTTAGATTATTTAAATATTTAATAATGCCCTTTAGTCTTATTAATATACCTATAATATTTTAATAAATAATTAATAATATACTTTAATAATACCTTAATATCTTTATAATATATTACTTTAATAATATCTTAATTTTCTTAAATAGTAAAGAAGAATATAAGGAATATATCTATAAAGTCTTAAAAGCATTATAAGATACTAAGCTATTAGTTAAATTAAAGAAGAGTTACTTTTATATTATAAAAGTAGACTTTTTAAGATATATTATTATACCTAGAGAAATTTAAATAAAAAAAAAGAAAATCTTAATAATAGTAAAATAGAAAGTACTTACTAATATTAAGGAAATATAAGCCTTTTTAGGCTTTGCTAATTACTATTAAAGGTTTATTACAGGATTTAGTAAAATTATAATTCTATTAATAAAACTAAAAAGGGAAAGCCCTTTAACTAGAATAATAAGGCTTAAGAAGCATTTAAGTAACTTAAAGGAGTAATCCTTAGTAAATTAGTCTTAGTAATATTTAATCTTAAAAAAGAAATTAAGTTAAAAATAGATATATTAGACTTTATATTAAGAGGATAAATTAATTAGAGAAATAAGAAAGGAAAGCTATATCTTATTACTTTCTATTTATATAAACTATATAAAGTAAAGCTTAACTACCTAATTTATAATAAAGAATTTCTAGTAATAGTTAATTACTTTAAAGAGTTTAAATACTATTTAATAAGAAATAAGTATAAAGTTAAGGTTTATACTAATTACTAAAATATTTTATACTTTACTATAACTTATAAACTTAATATATAATAACTATATTATATAGAATTCTTATATAAATTTAACTTTATAATTATTTACTAAAAGGAATTAAAAAATAATAAAGCAGATATAATTAGCTAATAACTAGATTATAATACTAATATTATTAAAGTAAAAAAATAAGTATTAAAAAAGAATAATAAGAGAGAATACTAATTTACTTAAAAAATAGTAATACTAAGATAGATATAAGCAGAAGTAATTAAGGAAATTTTAAGAGAATTATAAAAGTTTATTTAAGAATTCTATATATATCTATTATATAGATACTAAGGAGTTACTAAAATCTTAAAATAACTATTATAATAAGGTTACTAAATAATATAAAAAGTAATAAAGAAGGTTATTAAATAATATAATATTTATACTAAAATAAAAGCGCAATAATATAAACCTTATAAAATACTATAACTAATAAAAGTTATAAAGTAACTATAAAGCTTAATTATAATAGACTTTATAATTAAGTTATTATTATTAAAAGACCCTTTAATTAAAATCTTCTATAATAGTATTATAGTTATTATAAATAGATTAATAAAGTTCTTAATTTACTTACCTTATAAAGAGGTAATAGATATAGGAATTATAGCCTATATCTTTTATAATAAGGTAATAAGGGAATAAGGACTGCTAAAGGAAATCCTATTAGATAGAAGACTAATATTTACCTTTAAATTCTAGTAATTGCTTATAGCACTTATAGGAATTAATTACTAACTTATAATAGCTTTTAGACTATAAGTAAATAATTAAATAAAATAAATAAATTAAATACTAAAATAATACTTTTAGTATTATATTAACTATAAATAAAATAACTAGGTTAAGAAGCTATTAAGCACTTAGCTAGCTTATAATATTACTTATAATAAAAGTATAAAACTTATATTATTTAATATAAATATTAGATTTATACCTAATATATATTATAATACTTAAAAACTTAAAAATATAAACTTAATAGTAATTATTATAAGAAATAAGCTAAGAGAAATATATAATAAACTTAAGACTAAGCTAGAATTTATTAAGAAAAGGATATAGAAATATTATAACCTTAAAAGGTTAAAAGGACTAACCTTTAAGGAAGGAGATATAGTCTACTTATTTACTAAAAATATTAAAATAAATTAATTAAGTTATAAACTAAATTATAAATACTTAAAACTAGTTAAGATTAAATAAAAAATAAGGGAAGATTAATATAAACTAAATCTACCTTTAAATATTAAATATTACCTAATTTATTATATCTTAATACTTAAATTAGCTATAAATATAATATATATAAGAACTAGTAATAAACTATAATAAATTATAAGACTAGAGATATATAAAGTAAAGGAAATTAAAGATATATAAAGAATTAATAGATAAAAGATATACCTAATTAAATAGAAGAACTACTTAAAAAGTAAAAATATATAGGAACTAATAAAATACCTTATTAATACCTAGTAACTCTTAAAGAACTTTTAGTAATAACCTTAAAAAATAAAGAATTAAAAATTAGGTTTTAGTTAATAATATTAGCACTACTAAAAGACTAAATATCTAAAACTACTATATCCTCTTCTTAAGTAATAATATTACTTATAGAAGAATTTATATTATTAATAATAAACTAAATACCTTGCTTATATAATAAATGCTTTTAATACTAAATATAAGATAATCTTATAATAGCCTTATTAACCTTTTATTAAGCCTTAAGAAGCTTTTCCTTAGCTTCCTCTTCTGCCTATTTTAAATAAATAGATTTATAATTTAAGTAAGGAACTAAAATTAATTAGCTAAAGGTAATAATAATAAGGGAAATAATACATAATAGGCAATTATAATACTAAAAGCATTATAAAATTAACCTTATTAAGTATATTTAAAGTAATAAAAAGAATACTTAATTATTTTATAATAAAGACCTTTAGCCTTATAGAAGGAATAAGGCATAATATTAAAATTAAACTTTATAATTAAATTTACTAAATAAATATACTTTAGAGTCTTATAAGATTTTAACTAAAGATTTTATAATATAATAATTAATAAGGCATATTAAGAAAATAATAAAGAAAGAGAGTTAGTACTTATTAAAGCCTAATATAAAAATAAGAAGATATATAGGTCTTAAGCCCCTGTTTATATTAATGGTGCACTGATGTTACAGCTGATTTGCTTATTTGGTCACGTGATCTGTCTCGTAACTCATTTAATCCTCTTTTCGCCGCCGACGCCAAATTCAGTCACGACTTCAGGTCTTTAACTTCAGGCAACTAAACTCACACAAAACTCAATACATTTTTCCTCCAAACCCCGCGATTACCCCGCTTCCATCCTCGCGCTCTCGTGGTCCAAGACCATGACCAGCCTGGTCTGTCTATCACAGGTTCTCGGTCTTCTCCAGTACCTCCTTGGCCTGCCACCGGATATCCTTGAGCCACTTGTCATGCAAGCCGCCGTTAAGGGCCCTAAGGAACCCCCTCTCCCTCCTGCTTAGCTGCACCCCTCTGCATAGCTTCCTTTCTAAATCCTTAAGCTTCTGCTTCTTGCATTTAAGGAAGTCTTTATTAATTAGAGGGTTCTTATAGATAGACTATATAAGCAGGAGGATCTCGTAACTAAAGATCGCTATCCTGATGCGGCTGGCATTATCCTTATTAAACCAGGCCTCTCTGATATCCATAGCCATTATATGCAGCATATTGCCCTTGCCCTTATTTCGCCTAAGAGCTTCTTCAATCTTAGGGATCACATCATGGCCTTCAGTCAGATAAGGCTCGTCGGGCCTGGGTGCCTGCAGGCTTCTTCGGACAGGCATAGTGACGGGGCAGCTGTGATGCTGTTAGCGGTTGCGGCCAGAAGAGGGAAAGTCAGGTCGGGTCGGATGACTTACTGCGTGATGGATGATTGAAGCGTGGTATCCTTTCAGGTGGGTTATAGGAAGAAGGTTGGGGCCAGCTGATGAGCAGGGCTTTTCAGCTGGCATATATGCAGCTAGGTTCAGGCTGCAATTGAGGCAGCTAACTATGATGATTTGACTTAATGAAGCTTTGCCGGCTATAGGGGCAATAAATGTTTAAACTATATTAGACTCTGGAGATGCTTGGATATACCTTTTGAGGCTAACTTATAAACTTAAAAAAAATAAAAAAAAAATAAATAAAAAAAAAAATATAGGTCTTAAGGATAAGACTTAATAAAAGGGAAAGATTATATTATAACCTATATAGCTATATTATATAGCCCTTATAATTTCTACTTATTATAAAAGGATTACTTCTTTTAGTAATAATCTTCTTTTATTAGATTACTTAGATTATAATGCTTTAAGACTAGATTACTATAAATTATTAATAATTCTTAAAGATCTAACCTTTAAATTATTATTATTCCTTATTAAGCTATTAGGCTACTTTTAATATATAAAATATACTTATTAGCACTTTTATAAAACTTAACTTACTAGCTATTAATAAAGTATCTTTATATTAATAAGCCTAATATATATTACTTAATTATTAAGAAATATAATACTTTATAATGCTTAGTATTATGCCTTATGCAATCTATAAACATAAACCTAGTATAGACTAGTTTACCTGTTTAGAAAACCTAACTATTATAAGCCTTAACTTAGTTATATATAATAGCTAAAAGCCTTACTTATTATACCCCTAGTAGTTATATTATATATATTTTATATTTTATATTAATTATATATAATTATTATAAGCTAAGATATATAATTTAAATTATAACCTTTTTTATTAATTTTATTTTATTTATTCTTATTAAAAGAAAAGTAATTTTATAATTATATATAAAGTAATATAATAATAATATTTTTCTTTTTTAATATAAATATAATATAAGGTATTATATACTATATTATAAAAAAATAAAAAATACAATAACCTTAATATTAAGTTAATAGATTATATAGCTATTACCTTAAACCTTAAGATTTAACTAAATAAGTAGCCTTAATTTATAAGTATAAAGAAGATATATAGTTAATTAATTATATATTATATTATATATATTTAATTAATTAAGTTATAACTTTAAGTTAATTTAACTTTTATTAAGTAATTTATATAAAGTAACAGACTTAATATATTTCCTTTAATTCTACCTTTATTAAAATTTCTAAACCCTTATAATAGTTATATAAGCCGTTAAACTACAGGGCAAAAGATCGGGCTATAATCGCTATGCAAGCAATTATAGGTATGCTACAGCTGCCTTATAAAAGCCTTATAACGCTGTTACGGGCACGAATTGTAACAACACTGCCTTTATCTTATATTTATCTTAAAACTCGTTATTAGTTTAAGAGTTACTCTTTAATAACATTAGCTGCCTGTATAAGTATATTAAGAACTTACTTCCTATATATAGCTAAACTTATAAAAGTAATAAGGAAAACTACCTTTTTTAATTATAGAAAATAACCTTTTTTTCGGCCTATTTTTAAAGCTTTAAGACTTAATAAGTTATTATTAACCTAATTTAAATTAATTATATTAATATAATATCTTTCTTTTATATAATTAATTAGTTAAATTAAGTTATAATTAAAAATAATTACCTAAATAAGGTTAAATTTACTTATTAATAAAAAGCTTTTTATAATAATACTAATTATTTTTTTATTTTATTTTAAGTTTATAAGTTAGCCTTAATAGGTATATTTAAGTATTTTTAAAGTTTAATATAGTTTAAATATTTATTACCCTTATAGCTAGTAAAGCTTTATTAAGTTAAATTATTATAATTACTAACCTTAATTATAGCCTAAACCTAGCTATATATATACTAGCTATAAAGCCTTACTTACCTATTAGCTAGCCTTAACCTTTTTCCTTTAACTTACCTTAAAGGATATTATACTTTAATTATTTATTATATAATATATTATTTAACCTTACTTTCCCTTCTAGCTATAATTACTAATAATATTATAATTACCTTATTATAATACTTATTATTTAAAAAAGCTTATAGGCACTTAGGCTTAATAAGCCTTATTTAATTAAAGGCTATAATATAATTCTTAAAATTAAAAACTTTTTAAATAAAATAAAGGTAAAGGTAATATAGTATATATAATCTCCTGTTTATATTAATAGTATACTAATATTATAGCTAATTTGCTTATTTAGTTATATAATCTGTCTTATAACTTATTTAATCCTCTTTTCGCCGCCGACGCTAAATTCAGTCATAACTTCAGGTCTTTAACTTCAGGCAACTAAACTCACATAAAACTCAATATATTTTTCCTCTAAACCCCGCAATTACCCTGCTTCTATCCCATATATCGCATTACAGGTTCTCAGTCTTCTCCAGTACCTCCTTAGCCTGCTACCAGATATCCTTAAGCTACTTATTATATAAGCCGCCTAGGTTAAGGGCCCTAAGAAACCCCCTCTCCCTCCTACTTAGCTATACCTCTTTATATAGCTTTCTTTTTAAATCCTTAAGCTTTTACTTCTTATATTTAAGGAAGTCTTTATTAATTAGAGGGTTCTTATAAATAGATTATATAAGTAAGAAGATCTTATAACTAAAAATTACTATCCTAATATAGCTAGTATTATCTTTATTAAACTAGGCCTTTTTAATATTTATAGCTATTATATATAATATATTGCCTTTACCCTTATTTTACCTAAAAGCTTCTTTAATCTTAAGGATTATATTATAGCCTTTAGTTAGATAAGGCTTATTAGGCCTAGGTGCCTATAGGCTTCTTTAGATAGTAGGCATTATAATAGGGCAGCTGTAATGCTGTTAGTAGTTGCGGCTAGAAGAGGGAAAGTCGGGTCGGGTCGGATAACTTACTGCGTGATGGATAATTGAAGCGTGGTATGCAGTAGAGGTCGATGAAAGAGTAGCCTTTTAGGTGGGTTGTAGGAAGAAGGTTGGGGCTAGCTAATGAGCAGGGCTTTTTAGCTGGCATATATGCAGCTAGGTTCAGGCTGCAATTAAGGCAGCTAATTATAATGATTTAACTTAATAAAGCTTTGCCGGCTATAGGGGCAATAAATATTTAAACTATATTAGATTCTAGAGATACTTAGATATACCTTTTAAGGCTAACTTATAAACTTAAATAAAAAAATAAAAAAATAAAAAAAATAATATATATAATAACTATAAATATTAAAGAAGCCTAATTTAATAAAAATAATATTAATTATATTAAAATAGTAATTTCTAATTATAAGATTTTCTTATTTATATAATTTATTTATAAAAACTTTTTTAAATATAAGAAATAAAAGCTTAAAAATTTAAAAAAAAAGTTATATAAAGAGATATAATTAAGTAAGAAGAAGAGGGGATTCCTTAGGGCCCTTAATGGCGGCTTATATAATAAGTAACTTAAGGATATTTAGTAATAGGCTAAGGAGGTATTAGAAAGATTAAGAACCTATAACAGGCTGCTTATAGTCTAAGACTATAAGAGCGCAAGGATAAAAGCAGGGTAATTATAAGGTTTAGAAGAAATATATTAAGTTTTATATATTATATAAAGTTTGTTTTTATTAATTATTTTTAAAATATACTTAATAGCTAAATTAAGATTATAAATATTAATATAATAAATATAATTATATAGCTATTATATTATTAGTAAAAAGGGTTAAAAGGTAAAGTTAATTATATAATATACTTTATAATAAATAAATTAGGTATAATATGTTATAAAAGTTAATTAAGGATTCTTTAAATAGGTTAAAAGAAAAAGGTTATTTTAGGTATTAAAAGGTAAATAATATTTATATTACTTAGTTAAAATAGTAATTATATTATTAAGACTAATAAACCTTATTTAATATTTAGTTTTATTATAATAGGCTATTATAAAGGTTTTTTTTATTATAATATTAATTATTATATTATATTATAATAGTTAGCATTTCTAAATATATAAACTAGTTTATATTAAGTATATATTTATAAAGTTATAAGGCATTATACTAAGTAATAATAAAGTAATATATCTTTTAATAGTTAATAGTATAATTTAGACTTATTAATATAAAGAAGTTTTATTTAATAATTTATAAGCTAAGTTTTATAAAAGTACTAATAAATATATTTTATATACTAAAGGTAGCTATATAGTATAGTAAAAAATAAATATAATCTAAGGGCTAGATTTATAAGGGTTAGTAATAATTCATAGTAATCTAACCTTAAAGTATTATAATTTAAGTAATTTAATAGAAGAAGATTATTATTAAAAGAGGTAATCCTAATATAATTAGTAGAATTTATAAGGGCTATATAATATAGTTATAAGGGTTATAATATATATATACCTTATACTTTTTATTAATTATATATAATTACTATAAACTAATTAATTCTATTTATAACTACTAAGATATAATTATATTAAAAAATATTAAAATTATTAATAATCCTTATTATTACTAGGTAACCTTAATAATTACTTTATAATTATTTCTAGTATATATATTATATTTATTAATACTTTTATAAAACTAAGCTTACTAGCTAATAAGATAACTTCTTAATATTAATTAAGCCTAATATATATTGAATTTATTAGTAAGAAATATAATACTTAATAACACTTAACATAAACCCTATATAATCTACTAATAATAAACATACTATAACTTAATTTAATATAGTTAGACCTAACTATTATATTTTTTATTTAAGTTATTAATAAAAAGACTAAAAAGGTAGATAGCCTTTTATACGGTTAAAAGCAAAGAAAAAAAAATAGTAAGAATTATCTTAAGTTATTTTAGCTTCTGTAGGTTTAATCTCTATATTTAAGTAATTGTCCACGTGGCAAGATTGTAATTAACCTATATCTTATTTAGTAATGCTTACGGCTTACTTAGGATATCAAGGTTAAGAGCTGCAGTGTATTTTCTTCTATTAAAGCTGCCTGGCAGAATGGCTTTAAGCTTCTTGCATATAATTTAACAATGCTTTTCTATCGACCTGATTATTTTAAGTGACTATTGCTTCTTTCTGTGGCAGCCATTAGTTCAGCGGCTGCAGTATACACTATATACGTTTACCTCCGTAGGGGCCATCTCTTGCACCTCCAGTCGTTGACAACCTCGTTGAGGAGCAAAGAAGCAAAGCAAGGTGAGCATGACAGAGGGCTTCGTCGGATTGTCTCGAGTTCTGATGTCTAGAATTTTCGACGTGCCTTGGAGGGCAACTTTATATATATATATATATATATATATATATGGATACTGATGCCTTCGAGAGCGATGTGGCTCGCATGCATGGACTGTAGCCTAGAAGTAATCTTGTTAAAAATTGCTCGAGGTTCGCAAACTTGGAGCCCAATCTTAGCCTTTCGTGGGAGCTTTCTACTATAAATAACCTCATTATCATCTTATCTTAATAGAAGCAGCGCATAAAGTTTATCCGATATGACAATGACTTGCGCACTGCGCTAAGAGCTCCATTAGTCTCTTGCCTGCTATTTGAATTCCTAGCTCTTGGAGAGCGATTTTTACTATCCGCAGCTACCCCCACCATGGAGCTGCGGATATAGCAGCGAAGTAAAACACATCTCTTAAATGATTTCGCATTATATCATGTTAAACAAGGCAGTGGAAGCGGAGCCAGTAAGTCCACTAGGCGTGGTCAACCTTTGGCCTACAGTCCAGTCAAGCATGGTGGGTTTCAAGACTAGGCCGTTTAATTCAGGTACTGGTTCCGCCTCCCCTGATCAGAAGCCATCGGGGTTCTCACTAATGAGGGAAAGAATAAGCTTAAAAGATAGTGGGCGCATCATTCTCAGACTCGAGGAATTTCTTAGACCTAGCTATATACTCCGAGCTGAACCTAGTCGTACCATCACCAAGCTGTGAACATGACCATGGCCATCTTTTCAAGACGAGAGTCTAATCAATTTACCATCACAATTAATTGCGATGCGGGCAATGAATACGATGGACCCATGGGCTTGCGGGTATCAGCAATCTGTTTTTTTGGACCGTTCATGGGATGCCTTATTCCTCTTTTCTTGAGCAAGCAAACTCTTTTCAAGGTTCCCAAGATCTTCTTCTTTGTCATCAAGTATGTTGGCTCAGGCGTCATCATCGCTACGGCTTTCATCCATATCCTAGCCCCATCCATCGCCGCGCTATACTCACCCTTTCTTGACCCCGACAGCGTCATCACTCAGTACCCCTGGGCGGAAGGAATCTGCCTGATAACCGTATTCGCAATGTTCTTCGTCGAGCTGTGCGCCCCCCACCACAGGCCTTCGGGGATTGACAAAGATCGTGATTATCACACTGGCGCCGGCGAAATCTCCGCTCTGGACTCGGTGGAGGGGACAAATCGTGATGTTGAAGCTGAGGTCGGCACAACAGGTAAGGGCTAGACTTTCCAACAAACAATATGCCGTGGCCGTCTTCAACAACCGAAAAACTGACTTCACATGGAAAATACGTAGAAAGCAACAGTGCTGATCTAGACAAGTCTAATGAGCTCGCTGCTCAATTGAGCACTTTATTTATTCCCGAATTTGGCATCATCTTTCATTCAATCCTCATTGGTATAATGCTTGCTGTAGCTGGAGAGGAGTTCATCGTCCTCTATGTTGTGCTGGTAGCTTATTTGAGCAAGTTGTGAGTGGTGGTACGGGATGTTTGAAACCCACTTCTAGCGAAAAAAAAACACCTTATCACAATATGAGACAGCCTGCCTTCGACTTAACCCGCTACGGCTTAAAAGCATAATCTCACGACATGCCTACAGCTCCGACCTGAATAAACTCGGGAGAACTAGGCAGACTATCCTTCGGATTGGCTAGGCCGTCTAACTGTCTGCACGTCAAGTGTGCACATCAACCTCAACTTTGACTTAGGCGAAGCGCTCAACCCTTGTTTGCCGAGCTACCTATTATATAGATAGTCTATATCTTCCTAGAAAAAGATACCCATAACCTGCAAGAGCTCCTTCTATCGTTCATCTTTCTCAACCTTGATGGCACCATCCGGGGCCATGGCTTTATACTCCTCCGGGGCCGTTATTCTGTCATTATCTTTCTTGTCCCTAGTCTACAAAGAGAAACTGCCCCGCGACTGCACCCGTGATAACTAATAAGAGTGCAGTGTACTTATTAGTAAACTTGTAGAGAACCGCCAGGGCAAGCATGTAAAGAACCGCCGCCGGGCCGACCTGAGCAGTTGTGTCAATCACTCACCAATTGTCTTATCCTTCATCCTTTCCAGAGAGCCCACGATACTGGCCTTAAAGATCTGCGCCGCGATGGTTGCTATGACGCCAATGACCGAGCCGCATAGGCCGTCAAAGAAGCTAGCGAGGAACTATTTGCCGGAAGGTGGCCGTCAGCGAGGTTATTGCTAGAGCTGCTCATAACGGAAGTGATAGTGACGAGGAAGCTAAGGAAGTCAGAGTTCCGCTTGCCTTGTTTCGAACCAACTTTTCCAACAACTTATGCCCCGCAATGGTAAACAGGAAACAGGGGAAGAACATTCCCAGAGTGATAATAATCGCCCCCGCAAACGCGTTGCCAATCGACCCATCTAAGTATGCGCCCTGGAAACCCACAAACGTTGCAAAAATAACCAGCGGTGCCGGCAAGATATCCACAATGGCAATGCCGTCGATGAACACGCTCTGCGGGAGCCATGCCCCCATCAAGACGCCCTCAACCTGCACAAACGGGATGGCTGTATACGCGCCGCCGAATGAGAGCGTGCGGACCACAAGGCCTAGCACGAAGAGGTTGATCAATGAAGGTGTCTTAGCGATACCGAGGGCCAGCGACACGGTTGAGGGCACACCGCGGAAGACGACATAGAGTGCGTAACCGACATATTGAAGGATGAAGAGGGCGGCCGCAGGGATCCAGAGGCGCCGGGCGATGAAAGTGTAGATTATGCCGTACAGTCCGAGGAAGATGAAACTATGAAGAAGTAATGGAGCTAGCGTACTGCCTAAAAGCGGCGTAACAGACTCGGGTGTCGGCAGAAAACATCTGTTGTAGCTATGTTTAACCTGGAGGGACGGGATTACTCACATATTTATGCGAAGTGCGCCGTTGATGGCCGTGCAGATGGCTGCAATCACGAGAAAAGGATCCACCTTTCTCGTGTCATGCTTTCTCACGGAGTGGTCAGCTATCTTGTGAGCCGCTCTTAAGATCTGGAAATAAGTGTAAGAATCAGATGACCGAAAATGCTTATAATGTTTCAATAGATGAGACACCTACCATTGCCGCGACGATAGGCTGCAAAGCCCGAAACGAAGCATTGAAGTACTTATTCTCAAAACCAGCTAGGGTATACAAATAACTAGCAAGTAGCATCAAAGCAAACCCGGGCAGGATGAATGCCATCCCTGCATTAATCCCGCCTATCCTACCCGCAGACAAGCAACCCAAGAACATACATAATTCGGCAGCCTCAGGCCCGGGGAGGATCTGATAGACGGAGAAGACGCGCTGGAAGCGAGGGAGGGTGATCCATTTGTCCTGGACCACAAGCTTTTCTTTAATCAGGGCAATCTACGCGTCGGGCCCGCCCCAAGCAAAGAGGCCAAAGTTGTAGAAGAAGAACCAGAATAGTTTCGGATACGATAGTTTAGGGACAATAGAGTTATCTTCAAGTCCATGGTCGTCTTTAGCACGAGGTGTATCAGAGGCGGGTCCACTGCCGTCAGGCTGAGAAGAGTCAACCTTCTGAGATTCTTCGTCTACTTTCTTGGCGTGCAACTTCGTCGCAACTGATTGCGAGGGTGTAAGTTCAGCCGCCATTGGGAAGAAAGGTGTTGGTGATTGCTTAGAAATCCTAGTCCTCTTGTCCTGCGGGTTGAAGAGAAATCTGATTGCGGTGAGTAGCCCGCATTGCCTGGCTTTTGTACGAGTAAACTTTTACGCTCTTCTAATGCTTGCTAGGGAATATTGAGATAGAATGGACGGACAGGAGAGCTTTGATTGGCTAGTAGGCTACAACGGCAGTCGCCGTCCCTACGGTGGATGTCGACAAGAAGGAAGTCTTTATGTGGTTTCTACCCATCAAGAATTCATTGGCGTAGCTCTTCTCTCATTACAGGCTTAGACTGGAGATTTTTCGGCGGCAGATATAGTTTAAATTAAGGACGTTATACTTTCAACTTATTGGAGGCCATGGCTATAAGCTAGCAGGGCTAATAGACTGGTATTACAAGACGATGTTTTTCTAAGGATATCAAGATTGAATAAGGCATTATATATTAAATCTTTAATATAATCTCTGGATCTGGAACCCTTGCTTTGCCTAAGCTGGAGCGTAAAGAATAGGTTCTATCCGTACTGTAACACTATCTTACCTCTCTATGAACCAATAAGACCTTAGCCATCCGTCTTCAGGGACTTGCTATGCATCGTCGGGCCTTGGCTGTAGGAGAACTGCTCTCCTATGGCGGCATCATCAATATGGAGATGTTTTCTGGCGCTAGAACCCAGTTACATTCCACTATAGCGATGTCCCGAAACTTATGGGATGGCCGCCCCTTTAAGGGTTAGTTGATTGGAACAACTGGGCACTAGCAGGGAATGGATAGCATAAGACTAGCCTCATCCGCTTTGGTGATTAGATTACTACATGGTGTGGCTGAATGGTGCAATTTAATAAAATATCTGAGAGAGAGGACTGACAGGAAAGAAGGAATTGGCCAGATGAAATGAGGCGGCCATTCGGCATTCGTCCTGATCCGTTCCCTGTAACCTTTTGGTCCTTCTCGACGCATCCATGAGACTCTGGTGCCTTTGTACAGATGTCAATTTTGGCAAACGCAATAGAAAGGTAGCAAGCCTCCCCATCCGCCCTTTCCATGGCCCCCCCCTGGCACTTAAGATGTTTTCTTGGCATTTTAAGGTTTGCGGGGTAATGTGATGGACGGATACCGACCCGATGATTCGTTGCCGCCTTGGCCACAATAATGATACATTTTCCCGATATGGTTCTGGGTGGAGAATCCTACTGTTGCTTCTAGGATATCATACCTTTATCTGTAACGGCTATGGAAGATGAACAGAGGTATGTATAGCTATGTCATTTTAGACTTTAGCATTAATAGCTGATTGTAAAATTTGTATTAGGAAAGATGAGAATGGCGAGTTCCTTGTCTTGATTTGTGAGGGCAAGAAGTTTCATGTTCGGAAAACCGACCTATTCACACAGTCCAAGGTTTTATGCTGCTTTTACTGGCCCATTTCAAGTAAGTGGGTGGCGTAGAACCTGGGGACTAATGGCTGATATCTCTTTCAAGGAATCATCTTAGAGAACTTACGAGATGAGCGAGGATTCTCTGTTCATTGTCAACAAAATGATTGACTACGTTAATAATGGGGACTACGATGTTTCGGCAGTACCCAAGATCGAAGAACAGAACATATCTGCGCTACAATTTCATGCAAGAATGTTTCCTTTGGCCGACAAATACGCCGTCGACATCCTGATATCGCTATCAGCAGCGAAGTACTTGGATAGACTTAGAAACTCGGAAATCGTTGAATTTCTTGGATCTATTCCGGCTGTTTATGAACTGACGCCAAGTTATATCTGAGGTCTTAGAGACGAAGCCATCAAGTACGCAAGGATCAATCTGCTGCAGGGTCTGGGAAACACGCCTGCTAGACAGATCTATGAAGGCATCGTGGGTACGACTCCGGAATTCATAAAGGAACTTCTAGACTCGTATATGGAGACTCCCATGATAGGAAAATGTTGGGACTGCGGCAGTTATCGAGCATTACAGGGAGTACAAAGCCGCTGCTTGCAGTGTGGCCATGACACAACCCCCACAACGTGCTGATAGGAGAGGAAGAGATGAATTTGTTCAAACTTCGTTCTGTGATGTATTGTCTGTCATCATGATAAAGGTAGCAAGACATTGCTTCATTTGAAAATCTACGGGAAATACAGGCCTTGAATGCAACATCGGTCTCAGAGGAGGGTTTCGTGCAAGACTCCACTTCGGGCCACGGAAGCATGAGTACGCAGATGGGCTGGTTATGGGGCCATCACCTATGTTATTTGTTGCTCGCGCGGTAGCATTAACGTATAGACACCGATCGAGAAGTACCAACTCTTCTTATGCGGTCACCAGCAAATTTCGTATGCAGTAACAGATCCGTAGGCTGTGGCTGGGCCATATACAACTGGAGGACCTGGTGGGCCTCACATTCGGTTGTCGACGGAGGCTCAAACCTCAAACCAGAGATACGAGAGGCCTTTAACTGGTAATAAATTGCATCAACATACCATGACCTGCGAACAATCCATAAATCCCTTCAGAGTTGTTGGTTGCGATTAGCACTGAGATTCTTTTCCTGGAAGGAGACATGGAGCGTATGCTTAATTTAGTATAACTCTCGAGTGAGAATCTGTCAAAGACCCCGACTGTGTGCTTGTGCTGGACGATACAGGGGTGAAGCTCGGTGTCATACTCGAAATAGTTACATTGGGCAGTATACCGCTGATAACCCTGATAACACATACGTCTGAGAGTTGGCCACAGTTTCAATTATATCGAAAGGGACTAAGCCACTATATATCAAACCTTTCACAAGATCTCTCGGCCAGGTCTACTTGCTTTACAGATGTGGGCACACAAAGGGGCGCAAAGACATAGCATTTTCACCTCATAATCAACCAATCAAACATTGCTTGTCCGTCTTTCAAAGACTGCTGGACTTGTATGCCGGGTCTTGGCTGGGAGAGACTTGCTTGTCACTATGATGACCGCCTCTTGAATCTTCCATCTCTGGGGATGATGCAGCTGGTAACCCCGTTCCTGCGCGTGAAGTTCCGGGTGGGGCCACTTATCTCCAGGTTTGTTCGGCTGTATTTTAGTGGCAAATACCATTACGATTGGTTGGCAAGTTGGACGGACTCCTGCCTGTTCATTGGGCGCGGTGATCAACTTATTGAGGAACCAAGCCATTGACTTGTGTTTGCCAGGCGGGCTGGTTAGAGGGTGACACCCCATAAATCTGACGACTGGATTCCACCCAATCTTCACTACCGTATGCATATTGCTCCATTTCGATCCAACTTGCGATATCCACAGGTAAAGACCAAGAGGTTTCTCAATGTGGGCGAAGTATAAACTTTGGAAGATATAAAGATCCAAACGAATGAGCGCGACTAATACAAGTCTATAGATATACCTCCAAACGTTCTATATTGCAGAAATGAGAATCGGCATCACTATCAATGAACTACAAGCCGAGAAGATATTCACCGGCCTCCAAACCGTGCGTGGCATGGTAGGCTTGGAGCTGGATCATTCAACAGCAATATCAGAAGTCGCCGTCTTTCTTAAAGGTTCTATCATTTCCTAGCAGATATGATGACATGACTGATACATCTTACAGGGACGCTCGGGACGTCTCTGGTCAAGGAACGTCCCCAGTTTATCTTGGCAGACGATCATTATACAGTATCGCATGACTATCACAAGGTCTGGAAGGGCAAAACTAACCCGTGCATCAAGTCTCCCTTCTGGCTGACAAGCGAAACAGTTCTTAGAACTATTAGAAGTTCTTTTCCCTAAGAGTATCTGCCTCACATTCCCAGGAGGTTACACCCTCTCAAAGGGCACATATAATTTTCCATTCGAGATAGCCTTTCCTTTGCTCTGTGCCTGCCAGGGATCGGAGTCTGCAGTGAGACATCTGGAAACTGTATTACCACCATCATTCGAAACTCATTCGAGCCATCATGCCACGGCGAAATTAGAGTATATTTTAGAAGTAAAAGCAAAGAGACCAAGAAGACTACAGCGAGACATAGCGACTCGGCACCAACTCATATTCTTACCACTTGATCCACCACTGTCTTTGATAATGGCAGGTTCAGGATTTTGCATGACCTCGGGGACGCTTTATATCAATACGATTCGTTGCGAGTGGAAACTGGCAACAGCTGCGGGGCCCTCACCTGGGCAAACCCCCATACTGTTACTATACGCAACGCTCCCTTTACCTGCAGCACTCTATTCAAAGGAGACAGTACCACTACGTCTCATTCTGCGGAGGCTCCCTGTCCTAACCGAAGATCTATACCCAATTCAACTTTATAGCCTAGCCATCAGGCTATAAATATTAAAAAAACTTAATATTATATGGATAATATTAATTATATTAAGGTAGTAATTGTTAATTATAAAATCCTCTTACTTATATGTTTGTATTATATAAAAGACCTTTTAAATAATAAAGCCTTTTTTAATATTAAAAAGTAAAGCCTTAAAGACTTAAAAGGGAAATTATACAAAGGGATATAGCTATATAAGAGAGAGAGGAAGTTCTTTAACGCCCTTAGTTTAGGCAGTATATAAGTAGCTTAAATATATCTAATAGCAGGTTAAAGAGGTCTTAAAAAAAACTAAGAATATATAAAGAAAGAGAGGATAATATATTATAATATTTAAAATAAAAGTAAGGTAATTATAAGGTTTATAAAGGAAGATATATTAAGTTTTATATAACTTTAAGTTATTTAAAGTTAAAGACTTAAAGTTATAAATTTAATATTAATAGCAAAGAGAGAATTAAAAAAGTTATAAAATAAAGTATATAATTAAATAAGTAAATTAGCTATAATATTAATATAATATTAATATAAATAAAGTATAGTAAATATTATATTATATAAAGAAATTAAATATATATAATAAGTAATACTTTAAATAAAATATAAATATATATAATAAAAATTAATTATAATATATTAAAATATAATTAATAAAGGAATTTTAACTCTTTTTTATTATTTTTAATATTAATATTATAAATTAATAATAATAACTTAAAGATTAATATAAATATTTAATTTTTTTTTCCCTTACCTTTAGCCTTATATAAGGCTATTAAGCTTTTTAGCTTTTTTATTAATAGTTTAAATAATAAGACTCCTATAACAGGCCATTACCCGTTGGCTCGAGCCGGGGGGGGGCCAACTAAGCAAGCTTAGTTGGGCACAAAACCCTGAGACACGCACACAAGGGTGAGACAGCCCCGCACAGCCGGCTGTCCCCAATTTCGGGTTTTTTGCAGCCAAAATCAAGGATCTAAAGACACCAATTAGTGAATATACCGTATCTATCGTCTGACTGCATTATGCACTCATCTGCAAATCTCAGGGCTGCTCAGGCCGTTATTTCTTCACGCCTACGGCTTCAAAGTGGCCGCTCTCGCGATGCCGCCCGACCTTTAAGCCTTCGTCAGGCTGAGGATCGTTTTTGCGGCTCTAAGAGAGCATCTATCGCTTGCATCGTGAAGAAGCTCGAGGCTGCGAATACCCTTAGCATTGAAGACCTTCCTGATCAACGAGGAGGGCGGCCAAGGCTGCTGATAGAGGAGGAAGAAGAAGCTATTATGGCCTTCGTCATCTAGATGTAAAGATCAGGTCTGCCCGCCTCTAAATATAAAGTCAAAGATGCAGTAAATATGCTGCGCCGCCGCCAAGATCCTGAGGCAAGGCCAGTTAGCAGAATGTAGTATCGGCGCTTCTGCGATAATTATCTAGAGCTCGATAAATCGATTCTCAAGGCCAAAGAAGCTGCCTGCATGGAGTATAAAGAAGCAGGCATTAAGGAGACTAAGCAGTGGTTTCAGCGGCTTACTAAAGTCATTACTAACTACAAAATCAGTACCTCTAAGTATTAGAACGCTAACCAAGCTAGAGTTAGAGTAGGAATACTATAAGAGTATGTAGAATGCCTTATTATATATATATAGAAGAAGTTATCTATAGAGGTTTTCTCCCCTACTAATTAAGAAAGCTATACAGTTATCGGCACAGGTAACGCTACAGGCAATATAACTCCTCTATAGCTAATCTTTAAGAGCTTTCTAATGCTAAAGTAGGCTTAGATCGAGGGCAATTCTTAGATGCAATTTGCATAGTTAAATACAGCCTTTTTTAATATTAAGATAATACTGCAGTAGGTAAAGCATTTTAACCGCTATTCCTAAGAGAAGTTAGCTACTATTTAACGCCATCAGCTCGATTTTAAGTAGTATTTTGGCTGTAATAAGCACCTATAATAACCTAGGAATGCCTTTAGAGAATATAACCTCCCTCTAAATACCAAAACCATCTAAGAAGAAGGTCCTATATAGAGGCTGCTTATTATCGATGGCTTCGCTAGTTACGGCTCCTTTGCCTTTCGAGAATACTATATAAAATTTAATATCCTTATGGCCTTCTTGCTGCCCTATTTAACGCATATCCTCTAGCCTATAGATATAGGTATATTTCAATATTTAAAGAATGCATATTAGAGGAAGCTTTATAAGGCATTAAGGAAGGGAAAGCTAACCTTTAACCGCCATAACTTTGCCAGGGCTTTTCAGGTATAAGGCTTATAGCTCAGCCTTCTCTTAATAACCCCTCTTTTCACATACTAATATCACTTTTTCAGGAGATCTTCAATAAAGGCTTTACGGCAGCATATATCATCTCAGGCTTTAAAAAGTCAGGGATTTTCCTACCTTTAAACTGACCTGCAGTTAAATATCTTCTCAGGAAGAAGCTAAAGACGAAGAAGACCATCGATCCTGCCTTTATCTCACTTCTGCCGTCAGAAACGAGGTTTTTAATAGCTTCCGCAACGGCATAACGCATCAGGGACCGATATTATAATATCCTTAGTTCCCCAACGCTTCAGGGACTTAAGCATATTCAGAATATTATTTATAAAGCTATATTACTTAAAGATTATATAAAAAGGCATATAGAAGATCGCCGAGCTTATATCGAGAAAAGATATTATTAGAGAAAGCGAGGAAAACGCGCCCGAGGAGCTTCTAATTATATTAACACGATTTCACTACAGGAGCTTCGCAAGCAGCAGGATAAGTATATTATAGAGAGTCAGAA